CATGCTGGAAGTCCTAGCTTATGCAATAAAGTAAGGAAATAAAAATCATACAGATTAAGAAGGAAGAAATAAACCGGGCTCGGTGGCTCAGCCTATAATCCCAGCGCTTTGGGAGACTGAGGTGAGTGGATTGCCTGAGCCCATGGGTTCGAGACCCACCTGGGCAACTCGGTGAGACCGCCTCTCTACAATAAAATTAAAAATTAGCTGGGCGTGGTAGTGCACGCCTGTAGTTCCAGCTACTTGAAGGCTGAAGCGGAAGGATCGCCAGAGCCCAGCAGGTCGAGGATGCAGTGGCCGGCAGCATGCCACTGCACTCCAGTCTGGATGACAGAGTGAGACTCCAACTCAAAAAAAAAAGAAGGAAGAAATAAAATTGTTTTTGTTTGTAGATGACATGATCATCTATGCAGAAAATCTAAAATCAATCAACCCCCCCCACACAAAACTCCTAGAACTAAACAGCAATTCCAACAAGGCTGTAGAATAAAAGGTTAATATTATAGAAGTCAATTGCATTCTTATACATAGCAATGAACGAGGGAAATTCGACATTAAAAACACGTTATCATTTACATTAGCCAGCCTCAAAATAAAATACTTAAGCATAATCTAACAATATATATATAAGACCTATAAGAGGAAAGCCACAAAACTCTGAAAATATATATCAAAGAAGAATTAATAAATGAAAAGACAACCCAAGCTTATGAATAGGAAGACTCAATATTACCAAAATATCAGTTCTTCCCAACTTGATCTATAGATTTAATGCAATCCCATTCAAAATCTCTGCAAGTTATTTTGTGGATATCAACATAATAAGTCTAAAGTTTGTATGAACAGCAAAATACCCAGAATAGCCAACTCAATGTTGTAGAAAAACAAGAAGTCAGTAGACTAACACCTCCCAACTCTAAGACTTACTATTAAAGCTACAGTAACCAGCCGGGCAACTGTGGCTCAAGCCTGTAATCCCAGCACTTTGGGAGGCTGAGGTGAGAGTACTGCCTGAGCCCAGGGATTTGAGACCAGCCTGGGCAACTTGGTGATACCTCGTCTCTACCATAAATCAAAAAATTAGGTGGGCATGGTGGCACATGCCTGTAGTTCCAGTTACTTGGAAGGCTGAGGTGGAAGGATCGCCTGAGCCCAGCAGGTAGAGGCTATGGTAGCTGTGACATACTACTGCACTCCAGCCTGGGCACCAGTGAGACTTCGACCCAAAAAAAAAAAAGCTACAGGAACCAAGACAGTGTGGTACTGGCAAAAGAATAAACAAATCGATCAGTGGAACAGAACAGAAAGCCCCAAAACACATACACATAAATGCAGTCAATTAATATCTGACCAAGAACAAAGGCAATACAATGGAGCAAAGACAGTCCTTTCAAAAAATGGTGATGGGACAATAAAGACATCTACATGTTTAAAAAAAAATGGCGCCAGGCTCGGTGGCTCAGCCTGTAATCCCGCGCCTTGGGAGTACGAGGAGGAGTGAATTGCCTGAGCCCGCGGGTTCGAGACCCGCCTGGGCAACTTGGCGAGACCTCATCTCTACAATAAATCAAAAAATTAGCTGGGCGTGGTAGCGCGCGCCTGTAGTCCCAGCTACTTGGAAGGCTGAGGCGGATGGATCGCCAGAGCCCAGCAGGTCGAGGCTGCGGTGGCTGGGAGTGGCCACTGTACTCCAGTCTGGGTGACAGAGTGAGACTCCAACTCAAAAGAAAAAATGGTTCCAGACACAGACTTTACATTCTTCACAAAAAATGAACCACAGACCAAAATGTAAAAGGCAAAACTATAAAACTTGAGATAACATAAAGCAAAAACTTAGATAACCTTGGGTATGATGATAGCTTTTTTATATACAACACCAAGGGCATGATCCATGAAAGAACTGATACACTAAGCTTCACTAAAATTAAATGTTTTGCTCTTCGAAAGACACTGTCAAAAGAATGAAACGTTGAGCCTCAGAATAGGAGAAAATATTTGCAAAAGATACATGTAATAAAAGTAAAAGACTTATCCATATGAAAACATGTCCAACATCATATGTCAATAGGGAAATGAGATAAAAACAAGATAACACTACACACCCATTAGAATGACCAAAATCCAAAGAACTGACAACATCAGATGCTGGTGAGGATGTGACAGAGGTAGAGGGTGTGTATATATGGGAACAGGGAGTATATGGGAACTCTGTACTTCCCATTCGATTTTGTTGTGAACCTAAGACTACTCTAAAAAATAAAGTTTATTAAAATATTAAATTATACTATAATAGTGAAAATGTATGCATACATAAAGGTATAAATGCTTGGATTTGTTTTTTGGTATTCTTTTCCTTTTAAAAGCAGAGTCCTTCAGAGTTATGACAACATTGACCCAAATTAGTAGAAAAATTTTTTTCTCAAAATTAATAGTATAACTTTAATAATTAATAACACCATTCATATTCATTTATCCCTTGAGTTCAAAGTATATTGTTGAAAAACGGCTGCAGGAGGTTTGCAGTGCAATCTTTATGAAACAGAATTTTCTCTGTACTGAAATCAACTAGCCTATACAAAAACTGAATCCGTAACTGGTCTCACTAATGTTATACCCTAACCAAGTGTATGAATCCCAACAGGAAACAGATGGTACACATAAATTAGGGTAATCTGAAGATGGTCTATGTACCAAGGTATGAACAGGATAAAAAGGAACCCCAAGGGATGGTACAAGTCCCAGAGGTTAGTTACTGAAACCCCAAACAAGAGAGAGTATCATGTGGATTAGGCCAATCTGAGAGTAGTGTCCCTTGAGGGACATGGCCAGCCTGAAGTTACATCACAAGGAAGGAACAGGGAGAATAAATACTCTGATTCACTCTTTCCTTCCTTCCATCAGCCTAGCTCTCCACTGGCCCAGCTCAATAGGAAGCCATAAGATATGGATGCCTGTTGTTGCAATTCATAGTTAGCCTTCAATGGATAAATCTGGTTCTGGAGGGACAAATGGAAAATATTTTGTATGCCAATAAGTTAAATAACTACAAATTAAGTACTTTTTTTTTTGAGTTGGAGTCTCAAACTGGAGTCGCCCAGACTGTCGCCCAGACTGGAGTGCAATGGCACACTCATGGCCACTCCAGCGTTGACCTGCTGGGTTCCAGCAATCCTTCTGCCTCGGCCTTCCAAGTAGCCGGAACTACAGGCGCGTGCTATCATGCCCGGCTAATTTTTTATTTATTGTACAGACGAGGTCTTGCCAAGTTGCCCGGGCTGTTCTCAAAGCCATGGGCTCAGGCAATCCACTCGCCATGGCCTCCCAAGTGCTGAGATTACAGACTGAGCCACCAAACCCAGCCAAATTAAGTACATTTTAAATGTTATCTCAAACATTTATGGAGTGCCAGTAAGGATAGGCATTTAATTCTCTCATGGATAGGCCCTAAAATGATTCTAAATGGCATTATGCAAGCTGGGCTTTGAAGGGAGTAAGGAAAGGAAGCAAGAGGTTATTCTCAGTAGACACATCAAATCCTTACCTACTACTTCTTCCTCTCATGCCAACTCTCCCTTTTTATCAGTTGCAAATCATGAAATACTGAATTGATCCTAACCAAGCAGGCTTAAATAATAATGGGGACTTACTGGCTCAGGTAATTAAAAAGTCTAAAAGTAGGATAAGATGCAGGGTTTTGTTGACAACAATGCCATCAATGAATAGGCTTCTTTATGCCACACCTTTCTGGCATCTTCATTGTCAGGCTCCCCCTTTTTGACTTCTCTCATGGCTGAAGGTTGACTGTCAGCCACAGTGGAAGTTATGTTCTGCTTTATAACCAGAAGCTAGCTAAGGTCATGTGTCCATTCCTGAACCAATGACTACGGCCATGGAAATATATATGTTTGTGACATTCTTGCCAATTTACAGCTCAGCTCTAAAGCTAGGGCATCAAAAGAAAAATCTGGATTAGATTAGAAAGAAGAAAAGGGGATACTGATGCTCAGAAAGCAACCAATAAGTGTTCAATGCACACTTTCATTCATGATGCTCCAGCTATACCAGATGTTTTCTAGTTCCTCAAATATACTTAATGATTTCCTGCCTTGAGGCTTTTGCACATGCTGCTCCCTCTACCTGGAACATTATGGTCTTCCCTCCTCTACTCTTTTACCCCCAATCTAATAAAAGCACCTGTTGTAATGCCATCACATTCTTTAGCTTTTCTTCAGTTCACTTATAACAGTTTTAAATTAATCTGTGTAATTACTTGTTTTTTTATCTAACTACCACATTGGACTACAAACGTCACAAAAGCAGGAACATGTTTTGTTTTCTTCAGAGCTGTATCCTTAGTGCCACACAGTACCTGGCACATACAAGTCATTCACTAAATATTGTGTGAATGATGGTGCTAATAAGGTTGATATACAATGAATCCTAATTGGCTATCCATGTCACCATAAAAATGCTACTACTGGTCACAAGTCAAAGAAACAATATTTTGAATAGATTAGAACAAGTTCATTGATTATCTTTACTGGAATCCTAACTTAAAACTTATGCACGTGTATTAAAACATTTTATAGCCGGGCTCGGTGGCTCAGCCTGTAATCCCGCGCCTTTGGGACGCTGAGGTGAGTGGATTGCCTGAGCCCACGGGTTCAAGACCCGCCTGGGCAACTTGGCGAGACCTCATCTCTACAATAAATAAAAAAAAAAAATTAGCCGGTCGTGGTAGTGCGCGCCTGTAATTCCAGCTACTCGGAAGGCTGAGGCGGAAGGATCGCCGGAGCCCAGCAGGCGAGGCTGCGGTGGCCGGGAGCGGCCACTGCACTCCAGTCTGGGTGACAGAGTGAGACTCCAACTCAAAAAAAAAAAAAAAAAAATTTATTTATCTTTTTACCAAAAAAATCTACTTAACTGTTTTCAAGTAGTAGTCCATAAAACTATTTAGACTATAAATTTTATTTAATAGTATAAAACTATATCAATCATACCTTCTTTAAACTGCATATTTCAGATTCTTGCTTTTTATTTAAAGCTGAAAGTCTTTTGTTTAATTGTACTGCTTCCTGTACTGGAATATGAAAGACAGTTAGGAAAGCATTACGTTTAATGTGTATTTCAAATAAAGTATCACCAAGATAAACAAGGAAAATAATACCCATGCAATGTATATATTATTTAATTTAAATAATATCCCTTAAACTGCCATTTACCAGTATTATCAGATAAGTTCAATTTATTCATAAGTCCATTTAAACATTCTCTACTGAACATGTATGTTTAAAAAAGACAGCACATACCATTTTGTTCTAACTTTTCATGATTCTCTTTTACCAATCCAAATTGACCTGTTATTGTAGCATAGTATTTCTCAATTTCATTCAGTTGCTTATGATAATCTTCTTTAGCCAGAAGATGTAACTGGATCTTTTGCTCCTATTTTGAAGAGTAATTGTAAGTGTTGTGTGTATGTATATATATATATATATATATATATATATATATTACACACACACACATACATTAAAAAATATATTGTGGTAAACAACTGTTGTTAGTAATATACCATAAATAAATGGCAATAAAAAGTACTCTCTGAGTACACCATAAGAGGAAATGTTGTTAGGAGATGTTTCTAAATCTATGTAAAACTAAAGCAAACATTTTTTTCCTGTTATAAAATAGTCACTTCAGGTTATGTTTCCCTTATTTATAACTTCTTTTTCAAAATCTTTTTGTGAAAAGGTCAGTCAGTCTAACACTAAGCAAAGTGAGGAGAAAATTAAAGCACCATTCTTGGTACTTTAGAAAATAATTTTTCTTTTTCTAAATTATCTGAATAATCAGGATCTATCTAGATCACTATTTTGATTCTTAATCGTTTCAATTTGCTAACATAACTGTGATATGTATTATCAAAACATATAACTTTTCTGAGAACTTTATTATTATTATTATTATTATTTTACTTTTATTTTTTGAGTTGAAGTCCCACTCTGTTGCCCAGGCTGGAGTGCAGTGGCACACTCATGGCCACCCCAGTGTCAACCTGCTGGGCTGGCGATCCTTCCCCCTCAGCCTTCCAAGTAGCTGGAACTACAGGTGCGCGCTCCCACACCTGGCTAATTTTTGACTTATTGTAGAGATGAGGTCTCGCCTAGTTGCCCGGGTTGGTCCCAAACCCGCGGGCTCAGGCAATTCTCTCACCTTGGCCTCCCAAAGAGCCGGAATCACTGGCTGAGCCACCAAGCCCGGCCAAGATTAATTTTAATGAATATAGTACCTTCTTATGCACTAAGAAATGAAAGGTTGAAGCCAGAGGACCATATGAGGCCAGGAGCTTGAGATCAGCTTAGGCAACACAGCAAGACCTCATTGCTAAAAAATTTTTTAAAATTAGCTGGGTGTGGTAGTATGTGTCTCTAGTCCCAAGTGCTTGGGAGGCTGAGGTGAAAAAATTGCTTGAGGCTAGAAGTTCAAGACTGCAGTGAGCTATGATCACAAGCCACTGCACTCCAGGCTGGGTAAGAGAGCAGGAACCTATCTCTTAAAAAAAATTGAAATGAAATGACAAACAATAATCTCTCAGGGATGGGTAGGCAATATAGTATAGTAGAAACGGCTTAAACTGGTGAAAAAACTGGTAAAAATTGGACCCTACTGATATATATATATATGTCACATGTAGCTTATATAAGACATCTCTATATATCTTATATAGAACAATATGAGTCCCACTGTTTTCAGCTAAAGGAGCTACTTTTACCATACCTAGGAATACACTTTAACTCTTAAAAAATACTGTTAGGCTGGGCACAGTGGCGCAAGCCTGTTATCCCAGCACTTTGGGAGGCTGAGGTGAGAGGACTACCTGAGCCCACAGGTTCAAGACCAGCCTGGACAACTTGTCAAGACTCCTGTTGTGGGCTCCTAAATCCTATGTGACAAACTTTGGAATTACTTTGAGTCACTGTTCATTCTCAAACAATCTTCTACTCTCTGGTTGACTGTGAATGCCTCCACTAAATTTCCTTTTGCATGAGTTGGCCAGAGCCATTTCATCTGCTGAAAGTCAAAACACAGGCAGTAGAGCACAGTGGCCCAAAGCTAGTCTGCCTGTATTTAAATCTTGTACCTGTGCCTTAGTCAGTGTGGCCTTGGGTAAATTATTCATCCTGTTTTTAGAATGCAGTTTACAACAGTTATTTCCCTCATAGAGTTGCTGTGAGTATAAAATGATTTAATATATATAAAGCACTAAAAACAGAACCTATTACATAAATCACAATATAATGATTTGTTATTATCCTTATCTGATAAAAATGTTGAGTTTTAAATAACTTTTGTTTAGAATAAGAACGGCTTTCTCTAATGTTAATAAAGAACACACATGACAACTTAAGCTGCACTTAACTCGATTATTTTGGCAAATCTGAAGGTAGTCCTATTTCAAAGTTATTTTTTAATGGTTTTAAACAAAGTAATAATATCATTGGTAATATTGATATTCGTAATAATGATATATTGATGATATATGATGTTTCTCATGCATTTAATTGGGCTTTTCAAATTCACTACTTAGCCATTTGAATTGCAGCAGTTATAAATGCAAACAAATGTGCTTAGCCCTGGGAGGCACATTTGCCTGTCTGGGGAGCTACTATTATCAATAACAATGAACAACAATGAGTCAGTCCTCTCTTCCAAAATGCTATTTAATTCCCGATTTAGAGAACTGTATTAGCTCTCAATAGATGTATAGAAACCCAACACAATTTCACTGAAAACTGGGCTAATGGCATTGTTTCAAGTCAAAGAGTTTTTTGACTTTTCAATTCAAATCAATATGTATGTAGTCTTTCTATTTACTTAGGTCAACTAATTTAAAAACTATGAACATTGGCTGGGTGCACTGGCTCACACCTGTAATTCCAGCACTTTGAGAGGCTGGGGCAGAAGGATTGCTTGAACCCAGAAGTTCAAGACCAGCCTAGGAAACACAACGAGACCTCATTGCTAAAAAAAAAAAAAAAAAAAAAAAAATAGGTATGACTGGCCTGGCTGCCATCTTCCCAACCATAAGTGGACTCTGAACAATTATCATAACACTGTAAGAAAGGGATTGGCAGTAGTGAGAAACTGCCAGGGAAAGGGGGGTGGGATCAACAGTTGAAGGAAACTGCCAGGGGAGGAAGAGGCATTCCTCATCAACAAGGGTATCTGCATAATGAACATTTGTATACTTAACCCCGAATTGTACCCCACATCTTTAAAACAAAATTTAAAAAATGAAAGCAAGCAGCTAAACTTGAGGAATATATAAAGACAATGAGAATATATATTTAAGGACAATATTCTGTCCTATGAATATATACAATTTAATCATTCCTCTAGATTTATGCATATATATTCTGTTTGGTGACTTTCTAAGAAGAGAATAAAGTATATCACATTTCTTTAAAAAAATAAATAAAAAAGATAAAAATAAAACACTTAGCCCAGCCTGGTGGCACGAACCTGTAGTCCCAGCTACTCAGGAGGCTGAGGCAAAGGATCACCTAAGCAAACAATCAGCTTTCAATGAGTAGATTTTAGAGGAAAAGATAAATATTATCTGCCATATATTAATACGTGATTCCACAAAAGCTTTAACCTTTCAGCTAAGAGTAAAATAGGCAATCAATGCCCCTGAAGGTTAACTAAAACCGTAGCAAAGATCAAAGAGATTCCCTAGCCACTTCCTATGCATAAAGCTTTATATATTTTTACATTAGAGTAATTTGTGATATACTCTATTTCACCATCTTTTGCTTGGGGCCAAAACTGAATTCAATGAAAATGCAGTTTCACGGCATTTGTTTGCATGACATAATTCTGATTTTGAAATATATTAGCCTATCCAATGGCCATGATAAACACCATAAAGACTTCCAAATCAGATTGGGCCCATATATTCCTGTGAACCTAGTTGGCTAGAACTGATTTAGTTTTGATAATGAGCTGAAGAGGTCAGTTGTCAAGTTTGCCACTGATTTTCTGACTCAACAAGTAGTTTAAATTCCTTGGGAAGCCACAGCAAAACGTAATTGGTAATAACGCCTGTGAGATATAAGAATATTTTAAGTACAAATAAACCGATGTTACTATTATTAAAACTTTAATATTACATATTATAAAATAAATGAAAGATTATTTTATTGAAATGACTAAGAAATAGTTAAGTGCATACTGTTTTTGTTTTTTTTTACCTCCATAAATTGATTCAAATTATTTTCCTTTTGCACAGCTTTACTATCAAATGCAAAGACTTAGTCTACAAGAAAATAATGTCAGGATTCATTGTTTTCTAAACACGTGCACCTCATTAAAAAAATCTAATCAGCCGGTCTCGGTGGCTCATCGGTGGCTCATCCTGTAATCCCAGCATTTGGGAGGCCAAGGCAAGTGGATTGCCTGAGTTTATGGGTTCGAGACCATCCCAGACAACTTGGTAAGCCCTCATCTCTACAATAAATCAAAAATTATCCAGGTGTGGTGGCATGAGCCTATAGTTCCGGCTACTTGGAAGGCTGAGGCAGAAGGATTGCTGGAGTCTGGAGCCCAGCAGGTCGACGCTGGGATGGCCATGAGCATGCCACTGCAAACAAGCCTGGGTGACAGAGTGAGACTCTACTTCAAAAAAAAAAAAAAATTTAATCTATAAAAATCAAGATTATGGGAAAAACAGACATTACATGCATAATTATCTAAGTGTGTGAAGTCTAAAAGCTTACTTTGAAGGCTTGAGGTATTTAAAATAGGAATAATTTTAAAATATTCACACACAACTTTTTAGAAATATATTTCCTGATAAAAGGCACAGCAGCACACTTCCCCCTTTTGTTTATATAAGTAGACTAATTTGAAGACTTTGGGAGATAAAATTAACTACCCCTAAAACAATCGGTTTGTTATAAGTAAATTTTAGAAGATAAATACCTAAAGATAAAAGTCTCATATTCATTTCCAATTTTGATTTCTTAAATATAAACCTAAACTAAATCAATGGAGCTATAAAACTCAATTTTTAAAAAACCTATGACTTATTTCTTTTTTAAACATAAATTAATTAGTTATTTTTATTTTAAGGGTGTGGGGTACAATTCAGGATTAGGTATACAAGTGGTCATCATACAGGTAAAGTTTGGAGCTTCTTTCTTAAGATAGCCTTACCTTTTTAGTCACAAATATAAGGCATAGAGTACTTTAAAAATATAAAATTATGCTGCCAATATATGTGTGTACAGATATACATAATATTTATAACCATTAAGTTATTTCCAGACAAGTCTTTAGTCTAAAAAATTCTTCTCTGAAAGAAGATATGTGGCTATTCCCAATCACATCAAAACCTTTGATACAGCCAGGCTCAGTGGCTCAGTCTGTAATCCCACGCTTTGGGAGGCTGAGGTGAGTGGATTGCCTGAACCCACGAGTTTGAGACCCACCAGGGCAACTTGGTGAGACCTCATCTCTACAATAAATCAAAAAATCAGCCAGGCGTGGTAGCGCGCGCCTATAGTTCCAGCTACTTGGAAGGCTGAGGCGGAAGAATCACCGGAGCCTAGCAGGTCAAGGCTGCGGTGGCTGGGAGCGGCCACTGCACTCCAGTCTGGGTGACACAGTGAAACTCCAACTCAAAAAAAACCCAAAAAACCTTTGATACCGAAACTGCTTTAATTTAAAAAGAAAAAAAAAAATCTTTCTTATAAGTATTTTCTTTAGAGGAAAATGACACAAAAAGAGAAATAAAATATGATTCAAAGATGCTTTGATAAGTTTTTACTTCCTTCATTAAACTATACTAGTTACTCAGTTATGCAATAGTTATCTATAAATTCAATTACATAACATAGTAATCTATAGAGTAATCACTAAACATAATAGGAAAGATTTTTTCATCAATGACCAAATCACAATGATGGTAAGTTTAATGTTCTAAAGTTTCTTTTTAACATGCTTTGTTGTATTTTTGTAATCACTATCTAATGACAGTGATTGTTTCAAGGAGAAAGTTTGGATATTTTTAGGGACAGACAAATCTTTTGATTCATGATTATGGTAATTTATTTAAGAACATATTGATATGTTATCCTCACTTCTACAAGAAAATCAGCTTACTGAATTCTCAGAAGACAGAAATTTACTAGTAGCTAAGAACTCATCAATAGGAAATCATAAACTTTAAAAGTTTCTTAATATTGTTCTTCAAATTACTTCTTTTAGGACACTTAACTTTACTGCTCCCCCAAAGTCCTTCCTTGACACTAGTGGCTATCTTGTTTCCTGTCTTGCCCGTAGAGCCAAATAATAGAAAAGAATAATGTACTGCTCTGAATAAAATAAGATTAACTGAATTATAAAAGCTGTTAGCACTGTAAATAAAGAACAGGTCATCTGAATTATATAACAATGAAAGGAGAATAATGTAAGAAGAATATATGTAAGAGTGTTTTGAATAAAGAGTACTTTTAACTTTTAAGTAAAAATATAAATATTCTGCCAGAAGGCAAAAAATGTTAAATGTATACATCAAAATATAAAATTATTTTAATAAAAAGTGATGTAATGCTTTGAACTGTCAGAAAAAAATTATGACCATAACTCAAATATCATTTTAGTAGGTATAAAGGTTGTAATTCACAATAACAAAAAGCTTCGAAGTGACCAAAAACTAAAGTACACTGCATGTTTTTATGTTTTTTAAAGATTATAAGTATCTGTTTGATAAAATTTTAAGAGGAATCAAATAAAACACATTTTATGTTGCTTTTGATCTTTAACTTGTAGCCTTATCTCCCAGGTCAAAGGGGACATTATTCAATTTCACTATATTTTGTGTAAAACCACTGTAGCGTTGACGATGACTTTCAGCACAAATGTCATGGTACTTAAAGCTAAACTGGAATCTAGTTTTTCAGCTTCTTAATTATAATCACAGTTTAAAAGAGTCTGACAATATTATTTTTATTCTTTCCAGTTGAACAGCAACAGAATTTTCACATCTTTTATTCATTCAAGCTTAGCCAATCTTTCTATGGCTCTTTTATTTTCTAACACACCAAAACAATTTAAAGAAGCAAAATACTTACTTTATGTTTTTATATGTAATGTCATAAGGAGTGATGTCTTGTTTCTTACTTCTTATATATATGTCTTACTCAAAAATTAATTTTATTTGCTTTACAGTCTGCTCCAAAGAATGAAGATTGAACTAGCATAAACCCATTCAAAAGGCCCATTGCAGATTTAAGCAGATATAGGAGAATTTTGCTCAAAAACACAGAAAAAGTAAATCCTCTGAGTGAAATAAGGTTAGAAAGGAGGAATATCAAAGTAAGTATTTCATTAAATGTTCTGCCGTAAAAACAAAAATATTGATTTTTAAAATATACTATAAAAGAATACAACAAATAATTTCTTGTTGAACAATAAAGATTCAGTACCATACCCTAAGTTTAGAATGATAAACAAGGAGTAACATATTCCAAATATTACTTTATATATTTCCATTTTTGCAGGCTATCATTAATAACTATATGTTTACATAAAATATGTCATTAAAATAGGAGGTTTTAGAGTTGAATTATTTGCTTTTACTATAAGGCCTCTCACAATAATTTGGGAGCTGCATAAAATGTATCTTATAATATACAGGTTGAATATCCATTATCTGAAATGCTGGGACCAGAAGTGTTTTGGACTTGAGGTATTTTCAGATTTTGGAATACTTACATTATATCAGTTGAGTATCTCAGATCTGAAAATCTGAAATCTGAAATGTTACAATAAGCATTTCCTTTGAGTGTTATGCTGTGGCTCAAAGAATTCCCGTTTTTAGAGTTTTTCAGTCTAGAGTTTTCAGATTTAGAATGCTCAAACTTTATAAGCACTATGTAATCTGGAAATAAATTTTTGAAATAATTCATTTATGCAACATTTGAAATTATAAGTCAGGCTTCTAAAAGAGATAGTAATATTCAGTTTCAACTATTCTTTTTTTTTTAACTATAAATATCACATTTATAGCCACAAAAATACTAAGCACTTTATATACTTAATTCAGGTTGGGAAATATATGTTCTGTAATCTCCTTACCATTTCAGTCACTTTCTTCTGTAAAGAATATTTAGAAACCTTAAAAAATAAGCGAGAAAAATCTCATTAAAATTCTTTAATTACCCACAACAAATTCCTCTTATCTTAAAATTGCATGCTATAAAATGTGGCATTTATCTTCTATGCACCATTTACTTTTTAGTGACAGTTTTTCAGAAATTTTATTTACAACAGCCCTCTTCCTTATGACAAAAACAATATATTAATTTACTTATTCAGCACCTATTTACGGCTCCCACATATGCTAGACATGCTCCTAGACTCCTGGGACACAGGAGTGAACAAAACAAAGGCCCTGTCCTTGAGCAGCTTTCTTTCAGGCAGAGGTGGTAATAAGTGGACAATCAATAGATGTAAAAAGTATAATATGTCAGAGAGTGATAACAACTAAGACAAAACTAAAGCAAGAGGGATAGAAAGCAGTCTAGGAGAGTTTGCTACTTCATATCAGCTCTTCATTAAAGAAAGTTTTTTAAAAAAAGCATTAACAACTGTTTTAAACCAACATATTATCTCACAAACCAAAGATAATAGTCATTAACACTTTGGTACTAAAAGTTTTTTGGGGGTGTTGGGGTCTCTCTCTGTCACCCAGGCTGGAATGCAGTGGTACAATCATGGCTCACCGCAGCCTCGACCTCCTGGTTCACACAATCCTTCTGCCTCAGCCTCCCAAATTGCTGGGACTACAGGCATGTGCCCTCACACCTAGCTAATTTTTTTTTTTGGTAGAGACAAGGTCTCGCAATGTTGCCTAGACCTGTCTCAAGCAATCCTCCCACCTCAGCCTCCCAAAGTCTGGGATTACAGGCATGAGCTACTGCACCTGGCCCTAAAAGATTTTTTTTTAATGCATTTAATATTTTTAAAGAGAGCCATTGGAAAGTGATAATAAATGTACTATTTATTTTGCAACCTATTTTTAATTAATAAATAATAAACACCTCTATGAAAAATTATTATACATTATAACTTTTTAATGGCTTCATGTATTCCATTGTTTGACTTTACCATAATTTACCTAATCCTTCTCATTTACAGATTTACTTTAGTTTACTGTTTTACTATTATGAAATATTCTGAAATAAACATGCTTGTATCTAGAAATTTATAGTTATTCATTTGAGTAGGATATATCCCAAGAGGAAGTCCTAAGATTTGTTCATTTTTATAAGCTTCTAAAAATTGTTACCTAGTCCTCCAGAGTGGTTGACCAAGTTAAACTCTAACCAGTCATATATGAGTGTTCATTTTTTTAAACTCTATTTATATTTGTTAAATTTTAAGCAAAAGTACAATAATTATTTCACATTTCCCATGAAATAAATTTTTAGCTACTGCCTTGAATGAGCTGATAATTGTATTTCATTTTGCTGAAATGGGTTCTATTCATTTCTTCAACAAATATTGAATGCCCATTATAAAGTAAAGTGCAATGTAGACATTAGGGGTGCAACAATGGGCCCAAAAAAATCCTGCCCAGCCTAAGTTTTGGGGAAGACAGACAATAAGCAATATAAAGAAGTTAAAATGCATGATATGTTAGATATTGGTAAGTGCTAAAAAAATATCAGGGAAGAAGATTACACAGGATAGTCAGGAAAGGCCTTTCTGAGATAGCAAATTGTGAGTCAACACTTGGATAGAAGTAAGAAACTTCTATCTAAACTTGCATTTCAGCAAGTTTAAAAGCACTAATAAACTGGGCGCAATGACTCACACCTTTAATCCCAGCGCTTTGGGAGGCCGAGGTGAGAGGATTGGCTGAGCCTAGGGGTTCGAGACCAGCCTGGGCAACATGGTGAGACCTCATCCTACATAAATTTTTTAAAAATTAGCGGGGCGTAGTGGCACACGCCTGTAGTTCCAGCTACTTAGAAAGCTGAAGCAACCTAGGTGAGACTCTGACTCCAAAAAAAAAAAAAAGCCCTAATATGGGACAGTGCCTGGTGTGTTCAAAGAATAGCAAGGGACAGAACAGCTAAAGATGAGTTAGAGAGGGGAGAGGGAAGGCAGAGCACCCAAGTCACTGACAGCCTTCTCATATGCCATAGGATTTAGGCTTTTACAGTAAATGAGCCAGAAAGCCACGGGCATTTCGAGCACAGATACAACACAGCCTGACTTTGCTTTTTAAAGGATCACTCACTGTTATTTTATCACTAGAAAGGAACAGAGGCTGTGGCAAAAAAAAAAAAAAAAAAAAAAAACCACTTAATAAGCTATTGTGATAATCCAGAGGCAAGAGAAGGGTGAGAGAGGAGTAGGGTGTTAGTAGTGGGTGTAATGGGAAGCAGTTGGATACCAGATACACTCTGAAGGAAGAGCTGAAAAACTACACAACTGGAAAAAAGGAATTGTCATTAACCAGGATGAAAAAGACTAAAGAAGTCAGTTTTCGGTAGGGGGAGGTTTAGAAATTTGGTTTTAAACAAGTTAAGTTCAAATACCTTCAGAAGTCATCTGTATTTAATGAGCCTCCCGTCTGTAACTCCAGCACTTTGGGAGGCTGAGACAAGAGGATTGCCTGAGCCCAGGAGTCCAAGACCAGCCTGGGCAACATAGCAAGACCTTGTCTACAAAAAAGTAAAAAAAAATTAGCCAGGCATGGTGGTGTGCACCTATAGTCCCAGCTATTTGGGAGGCTGAGGCAGAAGGATCACCTGAGCCCAGGAAGTCAAGCTGTGGTGAGTCATGATCATGCCACTGCACTCCAGCCTAGGCAGCAGAGTGAGGATCTGACTCAAAAATAGAATAAAATAAGGACATGAGCCTGGATGAAATCAGAGAACTTTTTAAGGCATACAAAACAAAAAGCAAAGTAAAAGGGTCATCTAGAAAAATAAGAAAAAAAGGCCGGGCTCAGTGGCTCAGCCTGTAATCCTAGCACTTTGGGAGGCCGAGGTGAGTAGACTGCCTGAGCCTGTGGGTTCAGAGAAGGCTGAGGTAGAGGGCTCACTGAAGCCCAGCAGGTCGACACCAGGGCCATGAGCATGCCACTGCACTCCAGCGTGGGCAACAGAGACGTCAACTCAAAAAAAAAAAAAAGAAAGCCAGGCTTGGTAGCTCAGCCAGTAATCCCGCACCTTGGGAGGCTGAGGTGAGTGAATTGCCTGAGCCCATGGGTTCGAGACCCGCCTGGGCAACTTGGTGAGACCTCATCTCTACAATAAATCAAAAACTTAGCTGGGTGTGGTAGCGTGGGCCTGTAGATCCAGCTACTTGGAAAGCTGAGGAGGAAGGATCGCAGGAGCCCAGCAGGTCGAGGCTGTGGTGGCCGGGAGTAGCCGCTGCACTCCAGTCTGGGCGACAGAGTGAGACTCCAACTCAAAAAAAAAAAAAAAGAAAAAAAAGAAAAGGAAAATAAGAAATAAAATGAAAAGACAAATATCCAAAGATGACATATCACTCTAATCCTGAATTTATCTGCTACCATTAGCCAAAGATAAAAATAACACATAAGCCGGGCTTGGTAGCTCAGCCTGTAATCCTGTGCCTTTGGGAGGCTGAGGTGAGTGGATTGCCTGAGCCCGCAGGTTCGAGACCCGACTGGGCAACTTGGCGAGACCTCATCTCTACAATAAATCAAAAATCATCCGGGCCTGGTAGCGCGGGCCTGTAATTCTGGCTACTTGGAAGGCTGAGGCAGAAGGATCGCCAGAGCCCAGCAGGTCCAGGCTGCGGTGGCCAGGAGCGGCCACTGCATTCCAGTCTGGGCGAAGGAGTGAGACTCCAACTCAAAATAAATAAATAAATAAAATTTAAAAATAACACATAAAGAAAATTTATCAAGTTATTTTAGAACACCATTTGTCAGAGACATTATCTCTGCATTTTATTCTTCCTAAATTACAATCCACCACTATATTTTTTCTTTTTTTTTGAGTTGGAGTCTCACTCTGTCGCCCAGACTGGAGTGCAGTGGCTGCTCCCGGCGCGCACTACCACAGCCGGCTAATTTTTTGATTTTATTGCAGAGATGAGGTCTTGCCTGCCCAGGCGGGTCTCGAACCCGCGGGCTCGGGCAAACCACTCACCTCAGCCTCCCAAAGGCGCGGGATTACAGGCTGAGCTACCGAGCCCAGCTATATTTTTTCAATACCTCTAGAGCACCGCCCAATTATAAAACTATACATAGATGCATTTCTAACACAAAGTTGAATTTGAAAGTAACATAATTAGATTGACATGTAGTCTTTTACAGATTCTGTATTTAATTTTTTTAGTTATAAAAAAATCATGTAAATATTGGTTTATAATACTAGATTCAGGTGTCCCTCTAGTACAGGAACAACCATACGAATACTAACTAAGGCATAAAATATAGAAGGCAATTTCAAAGATAAAATAGAAATGTTTTCCAACTATAGTTATCCCTTACTTTATGGACAATTATTTTAAAATTTGACTGAAAGCACACTTCTTTAGAGCAAACTTTATTTTCCCATTAATTGGATTTATGCTACTTGGGAATAAAGTCCCCCCAAATACTGTGTTAAAAACATTTAGTCCCTTCCTCATCTTAAACAATTCAGTCCTAAGTCCCTTAGATTGGGTAGAGTAAGGAAGTTAGAATACAGCTGTGGCTGTGGCACCGCAGAGCAGGTAACACTGGAGCACCACACGGAGCGCTCACCCTGCCCTGGCGTCAAGAGGGCCAGCACACCACGGCACACAAAAGAATCTATCTGGAGGAGCTTCTAACTCCAAGGAGGAAGACCAGGAAACCTTGGCCCAACAGCCACAAAGAAACCTGTCTTTGTCTGGATCTTTGGGACAAAAGCAAAAGTTATTCCAATAGAAATGGAAAAATCTAAACTTGTAGCACAAAAGACTATGAAATCCAAGTATACGCTCCCTGCATGATGTGCACATCCTAGATGATTCATGAATGTCACATCCAGAACTGTTCACTGAAACCCTGAGGCTCAGAACAGAAGTAAATGCAGAAGAGCTCTGTAGGGAGAATTCCATAACACAACGTCATCAGAAAAATACAACCTCCGTTTGGGGGGGCA